GGGCTAGCCAGACCCCACCTGTGCACGAATTCATACACTGGGCCTCTAGTTAGTTATATAATTCTGGGAAGAGCCTTCTGTGTGCCTCTGTTTCTTCTGTAAAATAGAGTCAGAATAATACTGTGTTAGTTCAGGTTCTCCAAGAAGCAGACCACCTGGGAGGATTTAGCATGCAAGACTTTTCTTAGGTAAAATGCCAGAGAGAAGCAATAGAGAACAGGCTGGAGGATGTTGGATGCATCATCAGATCATGACACACTTTGAAGAATAAAGAGAATGATAGAAGCATCCCAGATCACCATGCAGTCTAAGGAATGCCCCGGAAGGCCTTCGGAAAGTCCTCAAGTCAGTCTCCAGTCAGAGGGTCTCCCATATCCAAGGAATGAGCCTACATTAGTATCCCTGTCATCCCAACTGCTGGCTGGGAACAGTCCCCCTAGGAAGCATGACTGGGGAGAAAGCGAGGCAATGATTGAAGAGCACAGTGGGTAGGACCATTCATTTTACTCAATTATTCTCCCTTTCTACAAGGTGCATTCTCATGGCCACCATATCTACCTTGAAGATTTATTGTGAAATTAGCAATAATGTACAATAGGTGCATTGCTTAGGAAAGTGTACTTGCCACATAATACCCGTTCAATAAAGAATAGCTATCATCATATCTCAATTGTGAACTATCATAATTCTGTGATATTCATAAAGTACATATTTCATCCCCTCAAAACTTCTTCCTATTAGGTTTTGTATTGGTTTGCTAAGGCTAACATTCCAAAGTACCCCAAGCTGGGTGGCTTAAACAATATACATTTGTTTTCTAATAGTTCTGGAGGCTAACGTCCCAGATGGAGGTGTTGGAAGAGTTGGTATCTTCTGAGGCCTTTCTCCTTGGCTTACAGAGCACCATATTGTCTCTGTCTTCACCTGGTCTTCCTTCTGTGTGTATAGCTATATTCACATTTCTTCTTCTTCTAAAGAAACTAGTCATACTTGTGTTGTGTTTACCCTAATGACCTAATTTTAACTTAACTGTATCTTCTAAGACCCTCTCTTCAAACACAGTTCCATCTAAGGTAGTGAGAATTAGGACTTCAACATATGAATTTGGGGGGACATAACAGTAGTATTGTTAGGCATACATTAGAGATAAGAAAAGAGAGAATTAGATGTGTCAAATAAGAAGCCATGGTCCAGCTGGCATGGCTCAGTGGTTGAGCTTAGACCTATGAACCAGGAGGTCACAGTTTGATTCCCAGTCAGGGTATCTGCCTAGATTTAGGGCTTGATTCCCAGTGTGGAGCATGCAGGAGGCAGCTGATCCATGATTCTCTCTCATCATTGAGATATATATATATATATATATATATATATATATATATATATATATATATCTCCCTTCCTCTCTAAAAAAGAAAAGAAAAAAGAAAAAAAAAAGCAGCAGATGCCATGGTTATACTTACAATGAAACACAGAAACTGGATCTCTTTAATTCCAAGCAAAGTCTATTATGTTTTTATGAAAGTACATTATACACCTGACCCTGTATATATTATATATTTGGCCCTTTTAGGTAGAGGCTGAAAATAAAAGGTTTCATGACCTAGTAGATGTGGACCTAATATCCACAAAGAGAAGCCCTTGTCAAAACCGGTTTGGCTCAGTGGATAGAGCGTTGGCCTGCGGACTGAAAGGTCCCAGGTTCGATTCTGGTCAAGGGCATGTACCTTGGTTGTGGGCACATCCCCAGTAGGGGGTGTGCAGGAGGCAGCTGATGGATGATTCTCTCTCATCGATGTTTCTAACTCTCTATCCCTCTCTCTTACTCTCTATAAAAAATCAATAAAATATATTAAACAAAAGAGAGAGAGAGAGAGAGAGAGAGAGAGAGAGGCCCTTGAATCAGTCTCCGCACATCTTTAAACTAGGTTCACAAAAGCGGGTGATTTTAGGTCCTTGAGGGATATTTAACTTCTTCTGGAAACACTTTTGGTTGTCACAGTTGGGGATGTGCTGTTGGCATCTAGAGGGTATATATCAGGAACGCGGCTAAAAACCCCATAATGCACACTTGCCTCAATGAATTATCTGGCCTAAAATGTCAACGATGATGGGGTTGAGAGACCCCAGATCAGAGTAAGGCAATATGGTCATTAAATCAGGACAGGAAATTGTATAGATCTCCTTTGAAAATTTAGGTCATGATGCATACTTGTAGACTTGTCTGTCAAGCAGAACTGAACTCATTATTTTTTAATTTATTATGTTGCTATCGATTTATTCCAGAATATAAGATTATTGCTGTATGAGCATAACCTTTTATATTATAATAAATGCTTATACCTGGCTTTCTCTATTTCTTGGAAATGATGGTACTGTTGCTGGTAATAGTTTTGAAAAGCTACTAGTATATTTACTATTATGTTCTTAGTAATTTATATAGTTTCTAATTTTTAAGGCAAGATACATTCTGGCTAGAGGAGAAAATAAGTAAGTTGCTAAGGTCATGAAACTGGTGTCAGAGCCTGCATTATTCTCAAGGGCTGTTTGAATATGAAGTTTTTGGTTTATCTGTTACATCACTCTCCCCTTGTTGGTGTGTGTGTGAGTCATAAAAATACCCAAAGTCATGTATTAAAAGTCAAAACCTTATCAAATCCAAGACATCTCTACAGAAATACTCACCTGAATTTTTTTGTAAATACAGGGCCATTCCAAACTGTTTCTTCTTTTCATAAATAAACCAACCACTTCAAGGTACTCTTTAAATTAACTTTTAAAAACTCAGAGGAAATTCAACATTTTTTTCACATGGTCTCTTCTCACATAGAACATCTAGAGACAACATTTTGCTCAATTTTTCACTCAGTGTGCAGACAGGAAGGATTGCTAGTCTGTGTTTTGTTGCCCTCTTAAACGTTCCCTTAATAGTAGGTTATGCCGTGTGATGGGCAATTTGGCTTTGCACCATTTTGCTTGTCATGTTGTTTTCCTAGCATTAAGTAGCTGAGACTAGAAAAGGGCTCATAGAGGTTACACTGCTCAATAGAATGCCTGTCCTTTTTTCTTTTGTTGTTGTTGTGTGTTTTTTTTCAACTTTCCATTACACTTATGCCCTCCTTTGTCTTGCCTTACAAATTCATTGCGGACAACACAATAAAAATGCAAAAATTCATTTTTCCTCCTACAATGCTCATTTTTTATGTCTGATTAAAACTAGCTGAAGGGAAGAGAGTAAGCAGAAAGAGTGTAAAAAAAATTGTTCTTCTCTGTCTAAATGTAAATAGCTGCTCTGTTAAGGAAGTGGGGCTATTCCCACCAAAACAAAGAGTGAAGCCTATTTTCTTCAAAACAAAACTCTGTGTATACATGCAAATGTTTGTGCTATGGATAGCATTCCCCATGACAATCTAGCCAGAAGGAAAATATGAAATGCTTTTTAAACAAATGGCCTTTTTTTTTTTTTTTGACAGACACAAAGTCACTTGACTTCGAATAATCCCATTACATTTAACTTAGCATGATTTGAGAGGTGTGAAAATGCAGTTCCCCTGCTGTGTCATGTCCTCAGTAATGTCTGATGACATCTCCTGAGGTCACGTCCACACTTTGACAGACTCTGTATCCGGTGAAATGATTGCTTGATGTTTTAGGAATACACTCTTTTTGTAGCTCTTAAATAACAGTCTCTTAGTTTTGCATGAGATGTATCACCTATTGGCACAATAATACATTTGAAATGGTCTTACTTTTGGAAATAAAGGGTCACTTTTTAATTCCTGAATTGTATAGTTCAGTATGAATATCATCAGTAAATGGTATAAAAGAATTTTAATGGTATTTTTAATACAAAAAAATCTGTCTTCTGGAAAACTATACTTTATATATACACAGACAGCCCATCTTAATCAATGAATAAAATTGAAATTAACTTTAAAATCTTCAAAACAGATGATACTGTTTCAATTTAAGCTAATCCAGGTTAAGTGGACCCAGTTAACTTGCTCCTGTAAAAAAAATAAAACCTCAACTCTTTGCTACTATTTTTTTAGAAATTCGTTTGCATTAACTCTTTAAGAAAGCACCTTTCATATTACATGTTGTTTGTTTATAGAAAAACAAACTTCATATACTGTATGTGGAATTTGACATCTAAGTAACCTTTTCTTGGCCCAAAATGGTTTCTAGATATTAAGCGCCACTTCATTTAGTGCTATTTTTTGTATATTAGCACTTTGTAAATTATATTTTAAACTTTACATTGCTGCTCTTGTCACACCCAGCTTTATTAAGGAATCAGGAAATGACTTCCAAGTTTTAAAGCATTCTGTTCTACTACTCCCAAGGTCCTGAAGAACATCATTTTAGAATACTATGGAACTGGCTTTTGATACCTCTTATCAATATAAACAAAGACACATTAACAACGGAATATTTTGAAACCAGCTTCCTTTTTTTTATTATGAAAATACAAACTGAAAGTTACTTCCCTTTGATTACCCATTAAGGCTGAACTTCTGTTAAATCTTCATAGAAATGTAAACAGCTTAACTTTTTTTTTATTGCAGTTGACTTCGTTTCCATGAAAACATGAACATTAATTTTTGTTTCAAAGAAGGCAATTAAATAAAAGAAAAGCATAGTCAACTATTTGGGCAAGTAATGTTACAGGTTGTGCAATGTACTGTTAACAGTTGTTTCTAATATACACTGGTGGAACAAAACTACATTGATATTATCAGCCTGTTCTCCTATCAGCTCCAAACACAGATTTTTTTCTTGCTAAGAAATTATTTATATTCTGGTTAGTTCTTTTTTAAGATGATGGGAAGCTTGGTTTTTACAGAACTAACCCTTTCTAGATAATACTAAGCATCTTTGTCACAAGTTGTATAATTATAAGTTCAAATGAGAGTTTTAGATTCAGAATTTTTAGCTAATTGATATTTATATAATTTTAGTAATTTAAACTTTGATAATGTTGACAGTTTCTCATAATGATTTTATGGATTAAAATGTGGTCTTTTCCTGAACTTCGCTTCATCTTCTTTATCTTCTTCTTCATCATCATCCGAATAATCCACTAATCTCATTGGGTTATCTGTTCCATTGGCATCCCCAGCAGAATGGGAATAAGTAAATTTGATGTCACCAGAAGATGTTCTTTTAGGAACATTCACCTTGTCTTCATTTTTTGTTGTGTTTTCAATCTCCATAGATATATCATAATCATCTTGAAAATCACTTTCCATTGGTCTCATACCTGAATGTCCTTCCTCTAAATTTTCTTTATCTCCTTTATAAGATACTTTATTCTTCTCCAAGTCTCTGGCCCTTTTACTATTCTGCAGAGAATTCAAACTCTTTTGCCTCTTGCGCTCTTTTTCTCGTTCATATTTAATCTTCATATTTTTGAATGTCTGAACATAGTCAATCCATTCAAGTGTTTTGTAAAACTTTTCAACTACATGTGTAAGCAGGGACTTGATATTTTCTTCTCTTATATAGTCAAACAGTTCAATAACAGCCGAATTCAACATATTGTATCGAGTTCCATTATTCAGAAAGGCGTTTACAACTGGCTCAAATAAATTTCCCTGGATGATGTAACAATTATAAACTTCATCTTTAAGGCCAATTATCCTTCTCATAAGGCGAAGAGCACATAAGACCAAGAAAGTATGTCTCGACTTCATCAAGATCAATACATTTCTCAGCAAATCTTTTCGCAAAATATAGTATTTTATGTAATATGTGTGATGTTGCACACAAAAAGTTAGCAGCTCTAAAATTATGCCAAGCAGCTGTGCTGTTTGATAATCATGGAGGCAATATCTGCTGTTTATGTCATCTCCAAGTATATGACCCTCTTCAAATATATCTTCTGATGTAGTGGCCAAAAGTGGTACTATTATGTTATGCATACATTGTTTATAAAAGAAATTTAGAAATTTACTTCTTTCACATTTTTGTGGCATCGCTATCATGTTTTCTGGATCAAGTATAAAACGAAGAAGTCCCATTATATGTAAAGCACCTGCTTTCTCAGGATCAGTATCACAGATCATTTGCTTAATGATTAAATTAATGAGAAGGCTACCTTTTTCATTCTGCTGCTCTTCTTCTAGTAGGAATTCTCGGATCACTGATGGATTATGCTCCACCAGATGAGCAAATATGTCAATAGCAGATGACTTTATTTGATAATCATCCAGGCTCATTATAACTTTAATAGTGGGAAGAATTCCCATTTGTGTTAATGTTTTGAATAGTGCATCCTTGCTTCGAGGCTTTAATACCTGAGCAAATGAACCAAATTCCTTGAGAAAAAATAACAATTCACGTCGCTTATCGTTATCAATAGTCTTGTCCTTTAACTGTTCAAATATTTGAGGCAAAAACTTATCATCTGACTGCAGCATGTGAATTATCTCCATCTTGTTGAGGAAAATAAAAGTTTTAAGAGCAGAAAGACAATTCTCATCCAATACTGATGGTGTAGGGAGAAGAATGTCTTGAATATACTGTACTCTGTATGTCTGGTGTATTCTTTGTCTAAGTTTACAGGTTGTTATCGGTATAACTTCCTTGAAATTTGCATTTTGGGTCAAGAATTCCCTATGTTTTTTCGGCTGATCGAAAGCAGGGTCATATTCAAGGCATCCTATCACATTCATGATGCACTCCTCAGAAAACAAGATATCAAGCAGAGCTGTCTTGTCGAGGAAAAATATTCCTTTAATAATTGTATGCAAATGGTATAAGCCTTCAGTGTATCCTACGCTCTCACAGGAGTGTAACATCTGTAGTAGTTTTTTAATATAAGTCTCATTTTCTAAGACCAGAGCCAGCCTTCTCCTACGGAGAGGTGAACTGAAGGCTGAGGTAACTAAGTTAGCGATCTGTTTAAGTTTACTGAGTTCACAGTTAGGCAGTTCGTCCAAATCATCGGTTTCTAGGGTTTCATCAATTTCTTCTTCTAAATCATCTAAAAGGTCTTGTGTGACGTTAACAGAGGGGTCTCGACCTTGAACCCGACAAATGGCTTCCCAGGTCTCGTAACAACTTTCCGAGTTTCGGAAACTCAACGCCATGCCGTGGTTCTCGGCCTCGGACCAAACAATTAATGTGTCTTTTTGTCTCTGATAGGGCGTGTCTGGGAGGACCTCAGACTCCAGGATCTGTGTGCCGCTGGACTCCGACCTAACGACCAGAAACAGGCCCTGGGATTCTGAGGCAACTGAGGTGACGTTCCCCGAGCCTAGATAATCCCATTGTTTGTACTCATTCAAGGCGAAAAGTTTTACCCGGCGATTGGGCCTGTCTGCCATGGCGAACGTGGGGGTCTTTACCTTAGCACCGCTCTCGGAGGCGAAGTTTTCCGAGGAGCGAAGCGCGTACACCAGGAACCGACCCGAGGTATGGCTGCTATGGCTGCTACAGTGGCCGTGAGGGCTCCTTGCAAAAAGCGCAGCAGAAAAGATGGCGGCGCAGCCGAAGTCGGGCCACGCAGCCTGGGCTTAAGCGAGTGTCACACCGGCGCTGGCGGCTCCTGAGGTCAGTAGGGTTCCCCGGAGTCCCGCTACATCTCACTGCCTTCTCACTACCCCCTGCCTCCATTTTGTTCCCCCATACTTTCTTAATTTGCGCTTCAAAAGGGAAGCTCTCTCAGCCCTCTTATGGCTGCCTGAGAAAACCCCCGTTTGAGCAGGATTCTAATGATTGTCCCAGGATTCCACTCAAAGGAACGTTGTATACGCATCAATGCACAATGCCTCCCGGCTTACAAATGGAGGCTTAGGCACTGGAGCCAAGCACAATGCTCTTCCCTTGATGCGTTTTATACCCACTACCACCTAACACCGAAGAACCATTTTCATTCATTGAGTGTCTGGGGGTGGAGCCTTGGGACCTTACACAAAAGAAAGCTTAATCATTCATGTCCTTACCAAGTCCACTCCTGACATTTTATGTCAAGAAAAGGCTCCCCTCCCTCCCAACCCCCTTCAAAGGAGAAGGAGCAAGTGAACTATGAGCTATTAACAATAGCCACAGATGTGCAGTTGGGTCTTGGCTTAAACCTATATCACTCACTACCTATAATCTAGGAGAATATTGTTCCAAGACAGTAAGGTGACCAGACGTCCTGCTTTTGGTGGGACAGTCCCAATTTTTAACAATTTGTTTCACGTCCCTCGGCGTTTTGAAAAAGTCCCGATTTTTGAGGGACTTGGCAACTCTTTCAGAGCTTACTCTGAAGGTCTCTCTTTTGGTGCAGTGGGAACATTTTCCCCCCTCAATTTTCTGTAATCTACCGTGTTTCTCCGAAAATAAGACCTAGCTCATGGAAAGATAAGACATTCCTGAAAATAAGACCTAGCTCAACTTTGGGAGAAAAAAAATAATATAAGACACTGTCTTATTTTCTGGGAAACAGGGTATAACCATATTCCTAATTCCTAGGAAAGAAATGGGCCAGACAAAAACAGTCAAAAATAGCCGAGAGTGAAAATTGAATGTCACAGAGCAATTGTTTTATTTTTTTAAGGTTTTTTAAGAGAAAGGAAGAAAGAGGAACATTAATCAGTTGCCTCCTGTATGTACTGAGACCAGGGATCAAACCTGCAACTTGCATATGTGCCCTGACCAGAAATGGAACTGGTGATCTTTCCATGCATGGTAGAATGCTCAACCAACTTAGCCACAGCAGCTAAGGCCAATTGTTTTATTTCTTACTAAATATGGTGAAATTAACAATCACAACCAAGCAATAGCACTTGAGCATTTTTTATTATTATAAAGAAAAGTAATAATATAATTGAACAAATATACTTGAATGCTTATATGTTTAAGACATTGTTACAAGGACTTTTATATATTTTTATTTGATTTTCATAATAACCATAATATAGGGATATTAAGCACCTTTTTAATATGAGGAAACAAATTTAGAGAAATTAAAGTAAGTACCCAAAGGTCACACTGCTAATAAGCTGAAAAACTCTGGTTTGAACACATCTTCCTGATTCCAAAATTGTTTTTCTCAGCCACTGAACTATGCTGTCTCCTTCTTTTCTTGGCCTTCATTACACTTTATTTCACATTCCTTCTATCTATATAATTTGTAATCAACAAAGTTATCAAGAGAAGATGAAAGTCACGCACTTCCTCCTTTAGATTCACATCTGTGTGTAGCCAACTGAAAATAGAAACTTGTCGATGGCAACTCTGTTAAATATAATTTTAATAGTAACCAAGTTGATTTTTGATGTAGCAGCAATTTCCATAGTTTTCTTTAAAAAAAAAATCCCCCCCAAAAAACTTTAACCCTGTTATTGCAAGGGAAAAACTGAGAATTTGGCCATCTCAAGTACATTTGTACTTAAAGAGTCCTGTTTGTAACAATAACTTCATTTTACATAGAACTGAAGGTGTGTGACAATTCTTAACTAGACACAGAAAAACTCTCACACACCTCTCTTGCAATGTCACCTCCAGGAGTTTATAGTACAGGAGTATTCCCTGAACAGGACACTGGGACACTTGGGAATTGAATGCAAATACCATCATTTCATGAGAAAATTCAAATCAATTATAGGAGTTTCTGATTTAGGGACATTTACAAATTCTAAAGAATACTTAGACATAAGGGCTAATAAATGACTAATGCTGGAAGCCAATTCCATGTCAGCAGGGCTGGATCATCTGGAAATGGCTGAGGGAATTTCCCTCTACCTGAGAAGGATGCATAAATGATTGCTTGCTGCCAGACAGACAGTTGGGGGCATCTTAAGCTACATGTTATTGCCTCCTACTGGGCAAACTCCTGAACAGCCAAAGGCAGTTCCTCCAGTCTGACAATGGATTCTGTATAGCAAGCCTTACCTTTTGATGTGCATATATACTTTGTTTTAGGACAAATTGTGTTGGGGTCCAGAGAGACAAGAGAACGTGGTTTCTTTACCTAAGCTCCTCTGGCCCCCCAAAATGCCTTCCAAAATTATGTTTCATCTCTGGACCCTATTAATTACACACAGTGCCTTCTCCAAATTCCTGAACTCTTCAAGATGCTGGATTAAGACCCCTGGCAGACTAATACAAAAATTGATATATGTGCTAGTTTGAAACTCCTGTCTTATTTCAACAAGAGAAAATATGCAAATATATGATAACAATAATGACATGCATATTCATGCCCTTTTTTTTTTCTCTGCTGTGATTATATTAAAGCTTCTTTCAGAATCAATTATTATGCTTGTCAGTTGCCTGAATCTGTTCTCAGGTTTTATTCTCTGAGAGGTAGTCAGCACAAATCTATGTGTTTTCACAATTTTATCACAGGGAGTCTCCCTTAGGCCAGTGAAGGTCCCATTATCTTAACTAGGTTAACTGGAATCTCTTTACAGTCTAAAAGAGCCTCAAGTTTGCATTTCTTATTGCTATTTCTGCAGTAGATTCTTCCAGTCTCTGTCTTACTTGGTTTGGGAATTAGAACAATGCTCTTTTTTTGCTTCAGTAGTTCTACCAACCTAAGGTTATCATTTTGTTTTGTTTTTGCTTTGTTGTTTTGCACAGAGTAAGGTAATAGGAATTTTAAAATGTCACATTCCTGGAGCTGTGTAAGTCCTTCCTGTAGGCATTATTTCTTTTTTATTTAATCCTCATGCAATAATGGCTTGAGGAAGATATTATTACTACCATATCAGAGAGGAAAAACTTGAAACTCCAAAACTGAATTGAGCATTTGGTTCAAACCTCTGTAGAAAGTGATGATGCTAGGATTTCAAAGTAGGCCTGTAGCATTCCAACTCGCTATTCCCAGTGTACCATGCTTTTTCAGAGACTACACATAGATTGTTATAGCAGATGTCTAAAACAGTATGATTTTTATCCCAACTATCATTGCTATTTGAAGGAAATTCTTTGAGGCTAGTTTAAAATCAAAAGGGCTAGGTTTACTCCTTTTTTAATAATATATTTTTTATTGATTTCAGAAAGGAAAGGAGAGGAAGAGAGAGAAAGAAGCATCCATGCTGAGAGAGAATCATTGATTGGCTGCCTCCTTCATGCTCCTTACTGGGGATCGAGCCCACAACCTAGGCAAGTACCCTGTCCAGAAACTGAACCCTGACCTCCTGGTTCATAGGTCAACACTCAGCCACTGAGCCATGCAGGCCGAGCTCTAAATGTCTTTTAAAAATAATAATAATGATATTTTTATTGATTTCAGAGAGAGGAAAGGAGAGGGATAAAGAGATAGAAACCTCCATCAAAGAGAAACATTAATCAACTGCCTTCTGCACACACCCTACCAGGGAATGTGCCTGTAACCTGGTGCTTGGGACAAGGCTCAACCAACTAAGCCATATCAGCCAGGTTAAATGTCTTTTCAAAAAATTTTCTGTATTATTTTCCCCACTCTGAACTCATAAAATATCTTGGTAAACATAGGTTTTATAGCCCTTTGTTTTTTTCATCATTCAATGGGATGATTCTTTATAATAACTACATTAGGGAGCTTGCCATTAATTTTCCAAGTGATATCTTTTTTAATGCAGCTATATATGAAAAAGCCCTTTTTAAATTTTCCATTTGAGATTATCTAATTAATACCTTTCTTCTCTCTCCTATACATACAAGCACATGGCATCCACAGCTAGAATTGGATTCCTTAAAGTGGCTTCATTATCTTAGTAACTATTCTTTTTTCTTTGAAGATCTCCAGGTAAAGAGATATAACAACTTTTGTGGATAGTATTTTCTAATATCATTCTCTTTGTACCACTAGGACATATATTTTTTTGCCTTTCTATAAAATAAAGCTTCCAGTTTTAATTTCTTCCTATTCTCTGTTCAATGACAGGTAGAGAATGAAGGCTCATACAGTATAAGCTACATTATTTTCCTCCATCTTTTGGTAAGTACCAATCTTCTCCAGACCAAACACTCCTGACCTTACCATTGCACTTATAATTTTATTTGTACTAGTAACTGATTGTTAATCTGACTTCTTTTTGTTGCATTTTCTTTCTTCACAACAAATTCTAGTTTGTTGAGAAATATCATTCCAACATTTAGCAATTCTAAATATCTTTAAAGAAATCCTTCATTATTCTATAATTATACTTTCTTAATTATCTAATCCTCATGTCAAGTGTACTTACGTTGCCTGTGGCAATATAAGTCTGTGTTTCACTTTAATTCAACAATGGAAATGAGAGGAGGAATATGTCAGTTTTGCAGTATTCTTGAAGTTGCTCTGAGTACATACTTACAGGAGTCTTTGCCATTTATTAAGAATAATCAGTAAAGGAAAGTAAAAAAATGATAA